TTCTTGTTATTTTTTATTTTATTTAGCTGATGTGTTTGGGTATGTTTTGTATGCTTCATATAAACAATTGCCAAATTATTGTATTTTAATTTATCCCTAGCTTTATGAACAAATATTCAATTCGAGTGAATGAACAAATTTATAGATATTATGAGAAAGTTTAACATTCATCTGTTTATTATTTTTTCAAAATTTTTACGAGCAGAAAAAGTGATTAATCCTCTCTTTTACTGTTACAAAATTGAAAAATTCAACAAAATTAAAACTGTGTTCATGTAAAGTATTTATGTATATAGTTATAGAAATTTTGCCTAACTCTTATTGTCCCTAATTAAATTATATTTGTTCACATTCAATTTATTCTGAAAATTTTATTCATCTAATTGGACAAGATTGAACGTAATGAAAATTTCGGTCGTCATTGTGTAATCTTTAAAAGATTAAATTTTATCCGCTTATTTATTTCGATTAATAAATGCTTGTTTAGAGTAGCTGTATGTTTGTATTTTTTAAGGCATGCTTTTTTCATAATTTTTTAATAAACCTTTATATTCTTCCTTCCTAATTTTAATAAAACAATTTATTTCAATATTTTCTGAAAAATATATAAATGTGTAATGTAAAATATTTTTATAAATTAAATGTATTAAAAAATTACCATCTGCCTTATAACATATACATATTTTTTTTTTATGGAGTTGAGTATTAATTATTATGTAAAATAGTTTTGAAAATTTAATTTATATTATGGACAGTTCCTAGTCTGTTATATAGCATTTAGCTGGTGTGTTAGTATATTTGAATATTAATTATATAAAATGGTTGGGCAAATCGTATTTAGTAATATCAAGTATTCAAGTTTTATGATGATATTGTGTAATTCTATTTTTAGTTCATGTTTGTAGCTGGTCATACTAGTGTTAACTTAATTTTGTATGTAGTGAATGTTGTATATTTTATTTTTTCTTTCATTCCACTGTACTGGTTCAATTTGTAATTTATGAAATTTTATTTATTTTTTAGTTTTTAAAATGTAGTATATTCTGTTGGAAATAAAAACATCCATAAATTTATTTGCATTTGAATTTATTTTAAAGAATCTTCTTATGTTAGTGAATAATTTTTGACATTTACCTATGCACAGTTTGGAAAGTCTAAAAATCCTTTGATAAAGGCATATTTGTTCTAATTAGTTCATGGACATTTTGTAGTATTTATGTTATAGATTTATTTTGAATATCATACAGCTCGTAAATTATAATTAAAAAAGCCACTTTTAAAATTAAATTTTATTGACATTGTAAGAAAGAGCCTTGGAGTTTTTAATTGGCCCACTTGGAAATAGACCACATGGCTAGATGCCTTTTTACTTGCTTTATGACTCATTTCATGCCAGTATTAATTATAAAAAATAATTTATTGATAACATAAAAATATATAAATCATAAAAGAAAAGCACAGTTTTCTTTTAAAAGTCTTTTATTTACTTGTATGTTGAGACATGAATATTTTCAGAGGCCAAATCCACACGACAAACATCTGGGTTCATTCTAAATTCATTCCCACTCTCGGGCTTTTTGCTTCATCTGTTGTACTGTTACATATTTTTTTTGCTGTTGTATGTACTTTCAAAGGATTGTTTCTAAATCCTTACAGACACAAAGAAAGAAAAACCGAATCCTGTCATAACAAGCGATACTAAGAGTGTGAATTTGTTATTATCTTGTTAAAAAATTAACTGGTAGTTTTTCTTGGAGCAAAGAATTTTGCGTTATTAAAAAAAAATAAAAAAATTTAGTAATTTTTTAAGTGTATTAAGAGTTAAATAGGCATGTTTAACCTTTGTATAGAAGAGAGGCTGTCATGTCTGCTGAGGGACAGTAAGCGTCAAAAGATGCTCTTAATTTGGCCAAATTTTAGGTAAATCGAAAGTAATCCTCTTTTGAAGTTCTTTGTAAGTTAACTATTCATAATCTTATTAAAAATTCTTTTTCAATGGATCCCAAGTTATGTGGCAATAAGGAGGCAGACACACTTGTATTTGCCACATCACTCCCCTCTTGATGAACTATAATTTATTCATCAAGACAAAATCTGCGGACTCGTTGTTGCAAAAAGTTGGGAGTGTCTTTTACACAATTCTTTCTATTTACCGAGAAAGAAAGGAATTTGTCTTGTTTTCATAGCTCGACGGGCCATGATTACCTCTCAACATCTTAAAAGAATCAGTAGTTTGCCCCATGTCTTTGTTAAAAAGTGATTACATCTACTTATTTATTTCAAATAAAAAAGTGTTGACATTGAAGAGGCGTTTCCTTTTGGTATTTTACATTTATGTTGGGCAGCAAGACAGTTTTTGGCCAACTGATCCAGGCTGAGCTTAGGATTAAAAAAAAAAAAAAAACAGTGACATTAGTACGATTTACTGGTCGCTTTTTGTGAATCCACACATTAAAATACATCTTTCCTTTGATGTTATTTATGTACTCCCTGGTTCTACAATCTGTGTTGAACGATGACCCTAACAATTCGAATCCCATGTTACCTGGCTATATCATGCTTAGATGTGGTCATTCTCACTCTCTACCTTTAGTTGTAAATGATCGTAACATTGTGCAAATATATCAAAAGGTAAGTGGCTTCTTCTTTCTATTTCATTACTTTTGTCACTGTACCAAGTAATAAACAAAGGCTAAATACTGCCCTCGGTTAAAAATTAAAACACTACATCCATTGTTTCTCAAATTTTGTAAGAAAAAGTTTTATTTTGCAGTTGACTTGCCATGCTAAATCTGTTGACCAAAGAGAAAAAAGATGATAATTTTTCTTGATTTAAATGGATGGTAAAGCAAATATCATTACTTGAAAAATTTATTAAAACTCTGAGTGATCAAGAGTTAATAAATTTACATTTTATGAACACTTAAAGAGTATGAAGTAAAGAGAGAGAGGATTTTTTTTATAATATAGGTTCTTCACAAACATTCTTTTTATTGGTTTTCTAATTTAAACCTTATCAATATATCCTTTAAGATGTAAAAATTGAAAGCTGTCAAATAACTTTAGTAATATTGTATAAATTTTAATATTAAATGATAGTTTTCTTAGCAATTTTCATTTCTATGAATGATAACCAAAAAATTATACAAAGGCAGAATTATTTGAGTTCTTGCAAGTCTCACGATTATCAGAAGTATTAGTATGTACTTCAAACAAATGCAAGAGATTTTAAATTTTAGTGCTTGAGGCAACATATAATAAGCCATATTTTTTGAGAAAGAATCCCATGATTTTGATGATACGTTTTTATGTCTTGTGCAGTTATCTAAAAGAACTTGTAAAGTACGCAACTGGAAACTATGCTTAGGAACAGTTTGATGTAAGCTTTGGAAAAAGTTGGAGTTATTACTATATTATTCAAGCAGTGGAATTCTAAATCAAGTACTGTTTTTCTTAAATACCATTATTAATTTATAGACGACTTTCATATAAAGTTAAGATAACTAAGATTTTTTCTTTTATATACATGTGTTCTTCTTCTTTTGTTCTTGTTAATTTACGTCGCACTAGAGCTGCACAATGGGCTATTGGCGACGGTCTGGGAAACATCCCGGACATGCCATCACAATTTTGATCCTCTGCGGAGGGCATGGCACCCCCGTTTCGGTAGCCCGACGACCTCGAGCATATATACATGTGTGTTAAAAAAAAAAAAGCTAACATTTCCTGCTTATTCTTAATGTTTGATAGAGACATCAAAATTGGTTAACATCAAATGCTTACTTGTCAAAATACAAAAATTTTGGATTAGAACTTACAAGTAGCATTGCTTAACAAATACATGGTATTTTGTTTTTACATCAAGATTAATGAGTGAAAAAGAATGGATCAGTTCCTAGGCACGCAGCTTTTGGAGCCAATTCTAAATTGCTCTGTTGATTCCATTTGAAAATAAACTGAAAAGTTTAATCAGATCTTAAGAGAAGAGTTTCTTTTCTCTAATCTTTTTGCTTAAATAATCTATTATGTGTAGAATTTGGTTGTTTTGATAACAAACTTTTTATTTTAATACAAAATATCTTTTGCCCATTTTTTTTTTATCAAAATAAAAATTTATACATTTAGAAATTGATTGGTGCATTTAAAGTGAAGTGATCTAACCACATTTAGTAGGAAGTTATCAGTAGTTTGTAAAAATCGTGAATTGTTTTTTATTATAACTTTTAAAATATAGTCTAATTTTTCTGAAAGAAATATTTGTACAAGAACTATTATTTTACCGTTTAAACAATTAACCAATAAAAAATAGAGAATTAGTTTTTAACTTTGTGTTAAGGTTATGAGATTTTACACACATATTAATTGTTTAAAGCTTTTAGGGACCGGCAATAAATCCGAATGAAAAATGTTTTTAAATACCCTGTGACAAACAATATAGCAATAAGCTTACTTATATAAATTACCTTGGTTATTGTATGCAATAACTAAACAAAATTTCGTAAAATCAGCTTTAACATTCACGGAAATATGGGCATTTTTATAAAAAAAAATTGATTTGATAATTTTAAAATGATATTTTTGTTATTAATTACTCAAATTTTGTTCAATTCTTTTGCATATTTCTGCAATTATAGTAAAAAAATTTAGTAAATGATAATGAAATTAATTGATAGAATTTACGAGCTTTATTGCAGTATTTTTTGGCATAGAATGTTAAACACTATTTTTCTTTTGTAATTTATTGCCGGCCCATCAAACCTCAAAAAGCTTTATTGATATGAGTGAGACATCTCTTAACACAAATAAAGTAAAAAAATTATGGCAGGATTAATATTGTGGGAAACGTGCAATAATTTGTTAGCATTTTTTTCTGCTTGAAGTATTTTGAATAATATTTTCTCCAAAGCAGCTTGTGGCCAGTACATACCTGCCTGCAATCTTTGCAATTTGATTAAATGTGATAGAGTTATGACAAAACATTTCAATTTATTATACACAAGAAACAGTACTAAAGCTTTATTCTGCATATTCAAAAGGGATAAGAAGACACAGCATTGTAAGGCCCCTTTTGTGCAAATAAAAAGAGGAAGAAAAAAAAAAAAAACACTTTGATAAGCAAAATTTATGAACTAGCAAGGGATGAGACATAGGACACAAACACAAAAGAAGTCTGTTACAAAAGGCACAAGTCCAAAATATATATATATATTAAGTTGGCTTTTTTTTTCATATCATAAATAAATGAACTATATATAAATCTTTCACAGTAAGTGAAGCAAAAGTTTCTCCAGACATAAGAGGCAAGTGTGAATGGTGGCCGGCAAAGCGACTGCCAGGAAGGCTGGACTAGGTTTTCTTTTAGAACTGAATGAAAGTGGGTTGACTTTGGTCCAAAGATGAGTTATTTATTCTGTCACTACTGAGAGCTGTGCGAAGCCTGTCAGTGTTTTTTCATCTGGTATTTCACTAGTATTCGATACTGGATTCTGTAATAAAAATTTGTAATTACTTCAATGTGTTGAACTGTTATAAGAATTCCAAGAAAGTAATTTTCACTTTTTAGTGCAAAATAAAATTATAAAAAATAAGCTTCCTTTTTGCTAGATGACCTTTTGCCGGTAACTAAATGATCCTGCACTCACAAGACTTCTCATCCTTATCAGCAAAAAAATCAACCAGGTCTGATTTGATGTTATTATGTACTGAAATCTTCACCTTTGAAATAAATAATAATCCGATGATTCGAGACCTGGGCTATATGGAATCGTGTTTTGCCTTAGAAATATGTTAAAAATTATTGGAGCTTGGTTGAGAAATTATGTCGCATCCCTCATATAATTAAATACACTATCAAATTATATAATTAGAAAAAAATGATAAACTTTAAACGCAATAATCTTAGTAATAACGTTGACGTTATGCAAATAAAGACCAGAAGTTTTAAAAGCTTGCAAATCATGAAGCTACCAGAAAGATATCCAACAGAAAATGAAGATCTTTGACAGATTAAAGTTCATTTTAGTTTTATTTCATCTAAAGAAAAAATTACTTTCTTGCAAACCAGATATATCAAATTTTTGCTTTTCAGTTATTAGTTTCAACATACCAGCTGCTAATGTCAATTTTTTGAAAAAGTTTTACAAAGCTAGTGACATTTTAGAAGAATAATAACCTGCCATTCACTGATAAATGAATTTACATCTTCTAATTTTTTTTAAAAGCAATTAAAACAAATAGCTACAAAACTGCTGAATAACAATTCATTTTTGAAGTCAATCGATTTGGCAGCTGAGACTTTCATGTAACATATCTTTAAAGAATGTCAATGAGTAATACCATTACTATACTTAAACTAAAGTCACTTATTTAAATAGTCATTAATTTAGTTAAATTTGTATTAAATAATTAAACAGAAAATTTGATATCATTTCAGCTTTTAGACAATTGAATAGTAAACTGATGGCAAATAATATTTAACATTAACTTTTTAGTTTTTGTATTTCTTAAATACAAGAATGTATTAAAAAAATTAATACTTACCAAGGCAAATACAGTAGACTTTAGCGATAAATTGTCCACTAATTTTTGCAAATTTGCAGCAACTGAAATAAAAAAAAGGCTTAAAACTGAACTGAAAATTACTTATATCCGACAATAAATGAACACCTAATCACTCACCAACAATCATATCTTTGCCATTAACAAGACCAGCGCCAACAAGTTCAGAAGCAATTCCATCTGCTGTATCTAATAAGAACAGAAATATTTAATTTACAGTGTGTCTAAAAAGTTCAGTGAATGGCTCACAGTGATAAAATCTAGTGATCCCACAATCCAAAACACTTTTATTTATAGAAGTTTCTTCAACTCCATAGAAAAATCACAAATTAATAAGTAAACTATCGTTAAAACTGGTTTATGATAGCCAAAATTTGAAACCCTATTTTAATGGACATCTTTAATCAAATTAATTTAGGAAAATTTTACACAATCTCATAAAATTAGCTTTTGTACTAATTATTCATACCTATTTAAAGTAGCATTAAAAAAAAATTGGGTGGGAACGAGAACTTCAACAAACTTTAGTTTCTAGAATAATTTTTTTTATTTAAAAGGTAGCAAGAAAATAGTCCACTATGATACACTGCATTTTAGAGTGTTTGTGAGTATTCAGAAGTCAACTTAAGATTAAAATAATTGTTTAAGGTTGTATCTTTGGCTGTGTAGAATATAAAATTTTATCAGAATATCAATTAACAATTTTGTTAATTTGCTTTATTAAATACGCTACATTGATTATAAAGCTACAACCAAACTATATATTTGTAATCTCACATGATATTTTAAAATATATTTCATAGAAAAGTAAAATTGTTATAAAAATATTTCATCATAATTCAACAAGCTTGTAACCAAATATATATATAAACTAGCCAGTAAAAATATAAAAAGTTTATTATTAATGAAAAGTAAAATTACCTCTATCAGGAACATATTCAAATCTAATATCATTTAATTCTTTATTTTCATTTCTGGAAAGAAAAATGTAACAAATCAGCAACATTAAAAAACTACAAAAATGAACATTGTATTTTTATTTTTGTCGAATTTATTAAAATTTAGAGATATAATATTTGTTTAGTTCTTACGTAAGTAAAAAATAAACATGCATTTTCAGAATTTATAATTTTGTCTATTATTTCTATTAAGAGATGGCACTGCCATCACATGACTTTTGGGAATTACCTCTTTCCTAAAAGTAGTTAGTCTTTGTCCGGACCAGCAACGAGTAAGATTATCTGGTTCGAGATGGTTTGTATATAGTGTTTTCCTATTTTGTAATAAAAGTTGTTAAGTTTTATTTTGGAGTTTCTTTAATAATTCCATATCAATTGGACCACAGTTACTACTAAACAGTTATTTAAACCAATTTAATAAAAAGGAAATTTTGTTTTAATAAAAAAACATAAATATGAGTTTGAATCAAAATATTGAAATCTACCAGAATAAACATGTCTACTTATTTGAATAATTGTTCAACTCCACTAAAAAATAGACCCAACCCCACTTTCATCTTCATACTTGCTATTCCTATCTTATTTTAAAACTAGTACACCTCTATCTCAACCACAGATCTGCTGTAAATCAGAAGGCACCAAGAATATAAAGATATTAATGTGACAGAGTTCTAAACATGAAATGAGGGTGTGTTTCTAAAATAAAGTTGTCGTGCTTTTCCAATAATTCTTCAATCCATTTGCNTCTGCTGTAAATCAGAAGGCACCAAGAATATAAAGATATTAATGTGACAGAGTTCTAAACATGAAATGAGGGTATATTTCTAAAATAAAGTTGTCGTGCTTTTCCAATAATTCTTCAATCCATTTGCAGCCTTACAGCTTAATTTAAGTGCCACATTTTCCATTTTAAATAATAATTTGAAGATCGGCGGCAAAACTTTTCTACTCAGCAGTCAACGTTTTAAATTTTTGTCTCTAAATGCAAAGCTTAATAAAACAAAGGCCAAAAGTGTAGAATGTGCCAAAGACCTGATCATGCTATAAACCAAAATGGATTCAATAAAAAAAATTCTGGGTTTCTTTTCCTGAAACCACGATACAATTATAGTTTAAAATAGCAAGGTATATTTTCTTGAATTGGTATCAGACCAAGTCTATTTAAAAAGACAAAAATAACACACTGGCTGTAATTTTATTTTACAAATGAGTTTTAATACATTTTTTAATAAGTATGAATCAGATTTGTAACAATTATAATAAAATTATACACTTCAAAAATTGAATTTTTTTTTAAAATTTGTAAATGAGTAAACAAAGTAAATAAATATTACCGTATCCTAAGAACCAGATTTACCAATTGGGATTCACTCGATTCATCGGTCTGCAAAAAAAGGAAAAAAAATTATTATCATTCGGTAATTATTTTTTTAACTAATAGAGTTATTTAGTAGCAATAAAGAAAAAAATTATTATCAATTGGTAATTATTTTTTTACTAATAGAGTTATTTAGTCAATATTTAAATGGACTAAAAAAAATTACGAAATAATGAATAAGTAGAGAGCATCAATAATTAAGAAGTATGACAAGTTTAGAAAATTAAAGCCACTAAGGAAATTATACATTACTTAAATGGAACAAAATAATGATTTATTCACAACAATATAAGAAAATCAATTTACTTTAAACTACATAAAAGTATAGATTTTAATTTTGCATAAAATTAATGTCTTATGAAATTTAGTGTTATCCCTGAGTGAAAAATTATTATAAGTATCAACCACTACTCCATAGGTAACAATTTTTATATGACCAATTGCAATGCATGCATAGTCTTTTTTTACTAATGTGCATTATATTTTTTAAAGAAATTTCTCTTTTACACTTCTTGGGTTATCCATGATGTATCTAATATGAATAACACTAATTATAATAGCATAGCACTTATTTCGATATAAAAAAAAGTTACAGATGAAATCCTACAAAACATAAAACCTGAAATATATTTTCAAGGGGAAAAAATATATTTGTTTACTTCAAAAAATAAATAAAGATTCCAAGACTAACTCAAATACAATTAATACCATAGTAATATTAAGTTATTTTGATATTTACAAGTAAACAATGCAATATGTGTATTATTACAAGATTTAAAATATGTAAAAAATTAGTTTAATCAAGTAAAGTCAACATAACTGCAAGTAAAATAGTTTCTATCAAAAAATTTGCTAATCAGTGGAATATAAACTACCATGGTTTATGGCAAGGTTGGGATTTTGTCTGGATGAAGAATTTTCTCCAGAGCACTGGACAAATTAGAAAAAAAAGACACATGATTTACTCTAAATGATTAGCAGATTTTTGCATTTAGCTATTTAAAATGATGCAAAAATTTGGACTCGCAGTTCGAAATTTGTCAAACTATTATCAAATATTTATTATAAATTATTTTTTTGCGTGGAATTGTCTTTGAATAAATTATTCCTTGCATTCGCTTAAAAAGTCAAATATGCAAAAAGTAAAAAGGTAGAACATTCAACCGCTCTCCTGACTAAACTATGGAGACCCAGTTTGCAGCTAGCCCCATATTTGGTTTCATTACTTAAATTATTTTCTACACTAATTAATTACAGGGTATCTGCTACACTTCAGATTTTCAAATTCATGACTCATTCCAAGATTTTTCATGACTTCACGAAATTACTATTTTCTCCGACAAAAACACAACAATAAATTTAAAAAAGGCATTATGATAACATTAATTGAAATGATAAGTACAGTACGGAACCGATTATCCGGAACGATCGGGACCAACGCTATTCCGGATAACTGATTTTTCCGGTTTTCTGAATCACTACGAAAAGCCGTTTTTTTATTGTCAAACTCAACTAAAAATAAAAATATTTGGAAATAATCTTAAAAAGAAGAAAAAACGATGAAGTAATACACTAATGATTATTTCCAAAATGATGGTAAAGTAAACTTCTTTCAAAAAAGAAAGAAAAATCCTGAAATCTTATGAGGAAAAAAAAAAATTAAAAAAAAAAAAATGGCGGGAAAACTTATTGAATTTTGTTCCGGTTTTCCGGATAACGGGTTCTGTACTGTATAACCAAAACTGTTATATTCTGCATCTTCATATTCATAGATTTTAAATTTAAAAAACAGAGTAAAGAAAGTAGTTAAAGCAATAAAATAGTTGAAAAAAAATACAAAAGCATATAATTGTTTTTCTTCTTTTCAGCCGAATTATATTCTAAAGATACTTTTCTTGTTCATCGGAAACGAAAGAAATACTCCTGATTTTTCTGTTCTCTTTTCGGAATTAAAAAAAATTCGCCAATGACTGGCTTGCTTCAGCTAGAATTTTAAATTGATAAAATAAAATAAAAAAAATAAATAATAAAAATTCTAAAATCACAGAAGTTTAAAAGACAATTTGCTCTAGAAATTAAAGAACATGATAAAAAATCTTTTTATTTTAATAAAATATGACTGTGAATGGGGATTTTGTTAAAAATTCAGATATTTGGAATGGGGGGGGGGTGTAAATTCTATTTTAAAAATTAGATTTTTCGGAGACCTAAATCCATGACATTCCATGCTTTTTTTTTTCTTTTTTAAATGTTAAAATCATGACAAATTTTGTTCAATACTGAAATTCATGACTTTCCATGATTTTTCATGACTTTCCAGGTGTGCGGATACCCTGTAATTAGCATATTCAAGATGAGGCCCTTGAATTATCAAGATTAGTCCTAGTATAAGAAAATCTGATCTTTTAATTTAAGAAATCATATTTTCATGTACTAGGACTTATTCATATTGCATTTTTGAATCATTGCATCAAAAGATCAGATTTTCATTATAATCTTTGCACTGCACCTTTGCTAATTGTAGCTAGTGTAAAAATGCAGTGGTTTATATGAAGAAATTTATTAAGTGCTAAAAAAAAGATCTCAAGTACTTTTCTAAATTAAAATTATCAAATGAGAGTAAATTTGTCCCTTCAACAAAAATTTGAAATTGTAAAAATATTGCATCTCTATATTTTCAAGGCAAATACTATACATTGATAATCTTACAGGGGAAGTTTGTTTTATATATAATAAAATACAATATTGACTTATAGAAGGTGTAGAGGCCATTGATTGTGTTGATTTTTGTGCTCATTACCAACATAGAAACAGAGAATTTCTTCTCTTACTAATGCATCATCTTCTACAGGAGGAACATTTGTTTGAGATGGTTGTTGGCCTTTAGGAGGTGTATTCTCATTGGATGTAGGAGGAGTATCAATTGGAAGACTGACTGGTTGATTCAACTCTTTTGGCTTTTCTTGGTTTTGAACAGGTTCTGAAGGCTTTTTGGATGGAGAGTCCTAAATTAAACATTTCTTTTAGTCACTCATAGAATAACTAGAAACAAATATATATTCCATTGTATCATGATAGCGATATAAAGTCATGACCCATTTCGGATAAACTTCAGGATTTTTTTATTATTTCTAAAAAGTGTTAGTAAACTGCAAGTAATAATAATATATAGTGCGGCTTTCAGAAGAACTCCTCTAGACACCCATCTTGTGTCGTGATGGGTACTATGGTTATGTGGAAAATACACTTCAAATAGGGGTGTGGGATGAATAGTTTTGTCTAAATTTTGGCATAGGAAGACGCGAGTAAACCAATTGACACATTCATTTCTCCATTTCACCTCTATTAGAGATGTGCTCTCGCTTGTTACCATAGTAGCAGACAGCCCCAGACATTTAGTCTGGAGAAGTTCTAGTCAAAGCCGCACTATACAAATATTAATTGCTTTATAATTAAAAACATATTTTAGTTTTGAAAACACGAATTTAATCTGAAACAATCAAAATAATCCCTATATTAAAAAATCATGAGAGTATACAATCCTGACACTGGTCTGAGTGTTCATCTAAATGTTGAATATAAGCCAAAAATTATAAGCGTTAGAAACTTGAAATGACTTAAGTGTTGAAAAAAGTGCACAAGGATTAAGGTGGAATAAAAAAAGTAAACATTTGATAATTAGGTCGAGAATTGTTGATTTTTTAACCTGCAGGAAAAAATACCATATGGATCATATTCATTTACAAATTTAACATTTTTTAAAAATGAAATTTTAGTTCTTTTGAAAGTTATTGCAATTTTAAGTGCTTTGGCAAATTTTTTCTCAATTACTTTTGCTATTATTAATTACAAAAGTTTGTAAAAAAATGTACAAGGAGTTTAAAGGAATTAAGAAATAAGATTCTAAAATTATTAACCGTTAAACTTGTAGTTAAAAAAATGACCCAGGCTGGTCAATCTATCCGCTTAAATTGCAACTACAGAGTTACTGATAGGATCATTCCGAATAATGACTTTAATGAGAGTTTCATTCTCTCGAAATTTCTATTTGTCCGAAAGTTGTTGAAATTTTTTTTCTTTAAATAATAATTACTTATCCATTGCTGTAGAAAAATTTATTTCTTCTTGCAATTTTCATTTTATAAACCCATGCTTGACTAGATATCAAAAGAAACAAATATATATATAAAAAAAGAAGAAATAAAGAATAAGTGAGAGTGCTTGATATATAGCTGAAGATTTAAAACAGAATTTTTAAAAAATATAAAGACTGAAGAAAGATAAACTGTTATATGATATAATTATTATTAACAGGTAAAATTACTTTCCCATTTATTAAAGCTTATTGTGTCACTTATTCTGTATTCCTAAGTTCAATTTTTTGTGTGTGTCTAATTCAGCTATCCTTTCGCTTTGTTATAATTAACATATTAGTAAAATGTGCTTACATAAAACTATAATGATATAACTTATAGAAAAATTATCCTTTTTGAATACTTAAACTTTTAAGATCAAGGGGGAAAAACAGTTTATGTCCATCAAAACTGATTTAAAATAAAAACAAATTTGCACACAGACAGGAACTGTATTTCCACAGAATGACCCATTTTCACTGAGTAATAACCCTACGGCTACCGATTTTCTATGATTTGCATAAATTTAGTTATCCTCAAAATGCAACAAAAGACAACCCAATCATAATTTTTGTAGAAAATGGATATAAACCACTATTCCACATTGATCTTCAATGATGAATGAGAAGCAACCATACGGTTGGTGACCAAAGTAAATAGAGGGGTAAATTTGTCTAGTTTTTTAAAAAAAATAATAGACTAATTTTAACAACATTACGTCACAAGTCTGTTTACACTCATTATTATGGCTATTAAGTTTAATTACAGTATTAAAACATATTAGCAACTATTCACGATTATATAAATATGTCCTCCAAAGAAAATAGTTTGTCCAGAAAGAACTCCCCTCGCCATAAAGTCTAAGGCCATCTGCTATATGAAAACAAGAATGGTGCATTTTAGAGAGAGGAGCTTTCATGATAGATTAAGATAGGAAGATTTGCATGAATTTCGAATGATGCTCTTTACACAATCAGTTGCTGTTTTAAGTACACTCTAGTTTCTCACTATTTATTATGAATCTTCATTGATATTCAGATGGTTTCATTTCTAAATTTAAACCATTTTTTAAAGCAATTACTCTTTTTATCAGTTGAATTTTCTGTTAATAGTGAAACGCTCAAACTTATTAACTTTTATTGTAAAAGGTGATATAAGTTTTGCTCTAGATAGAAATAGTTTATGTTTATCTATGCATGAGAAATTCTCAAAAATTTAACTGATTCATTAGAATTTTTTTTCAACTCTTTGTTCTTAGATGTACATAATTTAAGATATTTAGTTTAAATATTTTGTTTAGCTAATATATGCGATAACAACGTCATTTTATTATATATATTTTCCTTTAAAGAATTTTGATGTTGGGGTCTAATTTTTGTTTTATTTACAGCTTTTTTATCCTGAATATGTAAAATAAATGAATAAAATTGGTAATAAGCTGTAACATAATTTTTATCTATAGCAGAAAGCACGTTACCACAACTAGGATGAAATTATAATTTTTCTTGCATTTACTGAAAAATAATTCTAACTATTTTTATTCGCAAATTTATTTTTACTTTTTCTGTCTTTCTTGATAAAGAAAATCAATTTACAATGCATAGGGACTTTACAGATGAGTTATTTATTAATAAAATGTGTACACTGAACTGTTTCAGTCAATTTTATAAAATTTTATCTCCTATTTATTACCTTTATTCATTAGACAAATAATAGTGATACAAATCAGAACAAAACTAAAACACAAAAAAAGCATATAATTTTTCTAAATAGAAACTTTTAAAAAAGTGAAATGATAAAAAAAGGAATCTAACGCTCTAAACGCTCAAGTTTATTACTATTCACTCTAGGACATAACACAACAGACCAAAGAAAAACCCGAAAAGCTTTCTCTCGCCAATCCAGCGAAAACAGGGCCTCACATCCCTACTTGAAATAGTTAAACCTCGTAACCATAGCCACCATGAGTTCAGACAAATGCATAGGGGAGTTCTTTACATGGACAAACTATAGTGATAGGTCGACATCTCGGATCGTTTAGGTTTTAAATATAATACCATAAAAACATTCTCAGATGATTTAACATCTGATGCATCTTTAAATGCTATTTAATGTTAAATGTTATTACTTTTTATTGACATCAAAGTATTCTCTCTCTATCCTGTATTAATGCTTAATTTTGCTTAGTTACAGTAAGTAAAGTTATTTATTGTTGAAAATTTAATGAAAACAAAATAAATAGTTTAATTAGACACTATTTAGCAATTAATAGAAGCAAGTGAATACTACTACTGATATAATTAAAAACACTAAGGTAAAGTGATATCTAAATGAAACTGGTTAAATCATATTTGAGAAAATATATATATATTTTTTTAATTTTGAAAACATTTCTATTGCAAACTGCTTCATTTATTTCTCATTTCTATTATTAGAAATACAAAACTCACTGATTCAGGATTTTTTTCATCTTCTTCATCTGAAGACCAAACCCAATCCCCAGCTTCAGTACGGTGTAGACGTCCACTGGTGCCAGGAGCTCTTTTTGTATTTTTAAGCTAAAATAATAACAATTTCTCTTATATATTTGAAACAACATTTTGCACAATAGTGGTTGTCAAAACTATATTAAAAGCCATCATTATCGAAAACTACAGAAGAAAACATTTACCCGATACCATTTACGATGCAAAAATCAAAACTATTCACAGTATGAAGATACAAAAATGCTTGCCTTAAAAAAAAAGAAGAAACAAATACTATCATTAGTATGCAATTTTTGATTCCCTATTATATTTTCTATTTAATTGTACTACAAAAATTGCTATACTTTCAAAACTTCACCAACTGATAGCCAATTAATTCTTAGCTTAGCATGGTGAAATGTGTCATCCTGGTCAGCTTGTTATATCAGCTATATAATAGGCTATCCCTCAATTAATAAACTGATATAATTAAGCATTTATAACATAATTTATTTTTTATTAAATCTAATTGTCTGACAATAACTGAAAACATGTAATTTTATTTGATCATAGAAGAAAAGGAGGTATAACCCATTCAACAACCTAAACTGGCACAGACCCGGTTATAGGATGAAGCAGGACGTCCTGCCTACTGTTCCTTGGCAATTTCTGCTTCTTTTAGATGTCTAAATTTAAAAACTTTTACCCAATATGCAAAACATTCGTTGTTATGTTTCTTATTTAATTTAATTTATAGTTTCTTATTCTCCCCCTGATTGCCCAAGAAGCAGGCTGTAGCTGCCATTCGTCTTCCTACCAAGCACGATTGCTTATACACTCATCTTTTCCGTCTTAAAATAGTGGATAATCCTGCCTTCCCCCTCTGCCGCAGTGTTGCGACGATGAATGATGAACATCTCCTCAACTGTCCAGATCTCTCAAAGAACTGCATCTACTCCCGATACTAGGAGGCCAGAGACCTTTTGTTCAATTTAAATTCTTGATTTAATTTTTGTGTTTGATGTTTTGCTTTTGTATATTTTATCTCTTTCATTATTTGTATTTTTCTTTTCTTTTGATCTCTGTATGGCGTTACGATAATGTCTGTATCACCTGCTGCATTGGAAATAAAAATTTTATTTATAGTTGCTAACATTTATATGCTTTTCAAAAATTCCCCCTTTTTTCCCTCAAGGAAAGAATTACTTAGAAAGTTTCCAGATTAAGTTCCTTATTTATTTAAAAATTTTTTTTTTAGAAAACTTACTCAATTTTAGGAAATTTTCTAAAATGTACAAAAACCCGTAGTTTTTTTAAAAAACCAGCAGAATAGAAGCTTGCAAAATCAAGTAGTCTACTGGAAAATTCAGTAGAATTAGCAGCTATAGAAAAATAACTACTGTAATAATAAATAATAAAGTAATGGGACGGAATGTCTATATCAAAATGAACTAATCGAATTAGTGACGGAACCGAAGCGAGAATGGGACTAAACCGATGGAGCCAAAATGTCGTGGATAGTGGCAGGAAGGCTCTGCGGCTGGTCGAACATGCATGTGGAAATGTTACACCTGGTGAATAACTTGAAACACCAGGTGTAACAGTTGCGTTCCATATGAGAAATTCTGTACTTCCACCCATAAAATTATTGGATTATANTCGAATTAGTGACGGAACTGAAGCGAGAATGGGACTAAACCGATGGAGCCAAAATGTCCTGGATAGTGGCAGGAAGGCTCTGCGGCCGGTCGAACATGCGTATGGATATGTTACACCTGGTGATTAACTTGAAACACCAGGTGTAACAGTTGCGTTCCAAATGAGAAATTCTGTACTTCTACCCATAAAATTATTGGATTATAAAATCAACATTTTTCAAAATTAATTTCTAAAAAATGTTAGAACTATCCTTTAATGAAATTATTATTTATAATCTAAACTATTAAAATGTCACATGATCAACACATGAAAAAAATCTAATATTCTCTTATCTGGTTCTCTAGGCTACATTTAGAATCTTTTCATATTTATAGTATAAAAATAATAACATTTGGCCTCCTTTGAACACTACCCTAAGAAAAAGTGTTTTTTTCAGTTTATGCTAATAACTATTAATGAAAGCTCTTTATTGTCCTTACTTTCTGGGCTCTTGTCTCTAAGCTAGGTGCACATGACACTAACATCTGTATCAAGTACTTGCGATCCTATATATGTAAAAAAAAAACAGAAAATTAATTGTTATTTTCACATGACCAACATTACACAAAAATTCAAACTACTTAAAGTTTGCTAGTTTTAAATCGAAGACTATTTCAGCGTTTAAACTTTGAAGCGTGCAGGTTAGTGGCAATATGCTCCAGGGTTGTTAAATTTTAAACATAGGGTTTTTTAAATTGTTTTTTTCTTTTAAAAAAAAAAGCATTACTTAACCTATGCCTTTTGAATTCCAAAAAATAATGGAAAAATGTTTATATCAGAAAATTTTCTTTTTGTGCAATTTTTTTGTACAAAAAAATTTTGTGTTAGCAAGCAGTTGTTTTCCACTTTTAACAACAGACGGCACTAAAATTTTTTTTACTTTTCCAATATAAACTATAAGAAATTTTTTGGCTTCATACATAGTAATATAAGGAATCGCATGGGTGTTGCCAAGACTGCAAAGCTTCTAATTACATAACTTTCAAAGCTCTAATTACATAACTTTTTATATTCTTAAAACAAATGCAGTCTAAAATATGTTTTTTTAAAATATATTTAAAAAACAATAATAAGACGAACATGTATTGAAAAATAAAGTGTGCAATTCTTTTTCCTTTTTAACAATCCTGGCAAGTATTAAGGACAATAAATTTAATGCTGAATATGTGTTCTATTTATACAAGTCCTTATCAGAAAAACAATTCCTAAAATAATTTTTAACTTAAATGATTAGAACTTTTCTAAAGAATAAATACATTTATTCCTTATTAAATAAATATATTTATTCTTTACAAGAATATTATTTTCAAATAATACATCATTAATTTCAAGGGAGAAAAGTAAACTCTCAAAGGTCAATGATGAAAATTTTAATAGTAGTGAAAACATTAATTTTTGTATATAAAAGGAGCTAACTTACTTTAGCTTTCTTAAAGAAGGGATGTTTAAGAAGCTCAGCTGCCGTAGGCCTATAAAAAAAAGTTTTAAGAAGTAAAATAAACTGTAACTAACATATTATATTGTATTATTGTAAGATGGACAAATAAACCGAAATGTACACTTTTTTTAAAAAACTTTTATTGAATTGGGAAAAAAAGTAAGAAACTACTAACTCGTGTCACAAACTATATGTTTATTTATTCCTCACGCAATTGATCTTTATCACTTTCCCACAAAAATCATTGCATAAACACATCCTTTAACATTTTCTTTTACGACATAACCTCTAAGAACAACCCACAACTGGTTGTTGAAAGAAGGCTTCACTTTTTTTAAACATGTTTTAAATAATCATAACACACAACATACAGAATTGCTATCGACGTCCGATTAATTAAAGGGCTTATGGCAATATAACAGCAAGTCGCATTTTCAAAATGTTAAGGAGAGCATCTAAGTGAAAAATATTAAAATTTCTCTCAGGGAGAGAAGATGTTTTTGCGTCTAGCGGTGTTGCTATTTTATTTATTGTTTTTTTTGTGCTGCTATTTGGGTAACCTATTATTAAGAAATAATACAAGGAAACGATTTGAAAAATTTCACTTGGGAAAAATTTAGCTCATTGCTATATAATTTCAATTTAAGGAATAATAAACACACAATTAGAGAATGAATAATCAGGCGCTGAAGAGAGGTGTTCAAGTATTAAACATAAAAATATTGAATATGCCTCAATGAAAATAAACAAAGTGTTTTTTTACTTCTACACATGGAAAATTTGTAAAAATCAACAGAAATAAAAATTTCCTGTTATGTTTTGTTACATTGAATAATTTCTACTTAATTGTTTAAATTGTATATATTGCACACAAAGAATATCAAACAAATAATAATTTTGTTTCAGCACCTTAATTATAAAAACAAGAATTAGCACATAATTCATACCTGTTTACTTCAAGTAAATATAAGCTTACCTTTTTGTAGGATCTTTCTGTAAACAATCTGTTATCATCTTTCTAATAGTTTTACCATAATTTTTATATTGATCTTTATCTTCAGCCACAGTGTCAATGGTTGGTGGGTCATTTTGAAGAGTCAACATTAGAACCTAAACAGGAACAGCTTTGTAAAATTCCAGTCCCTAAATAACATTATTTAAAAATCCCAAAATCAGAATTGTGTACAATCTCTTAAGTTCTGACCATCTACATGTTTTTAAAATAAAAAAAGGTTAAGTGGCGGACAGTTACATCAAGCTTATATCTTTAAGGCAATAAAAAATTTCTTTTAAATTAAGGAAGAATTAGATCTATTTTAAAATTAAAAAAAAGAGGCACCCATACAGGCCTCAGTCAATGTTAACACAGAAAAAGTACAAAGTTGATTAATATTGTTAGCTACAATACCTCACTGTAAAATACCAAACAAGCCCCTATCCATAGTTTAATATTAACCAGCGACAGATTAAATCCCAACCCACCTCCCATATACAGAGTTAGTGCTATGGGAAGATACACTTGTGAAAATACTTAAATTTTGCAAATACTTTTTTAAAAAAATTAACAGGAGAATCTACTCAATACTACGATTCAAATCAAAGAAATTTGAAAATTAGACATAGCAATTCAAATTAAAGATTTACAAATCAAACCTTGTGATTTGTATTCACAAAACTTAAAAATCCTATATCGCAATTTGTATTCGTGCAATTTAAAATCCAATATTGTGATTCATATTCACACAGTTTTAGTATTACACATAGATGTATGTGATTTAAAAGTTACATATAATGATTTATCATATGGCGTGATTTGTATTCTGAATCATATATCAATCATTATCAAAACGCACTCCAGCGTTTGTCTGCATGTCTGAAAAAAATATAACATTATGTTTAGTTAAAACATTAAATCCTGAATTGCAGGTTAGAAAAGCAACAAATTAATATTAAATATTATGACAGATATTCATGTTTCCGTGGCACACACAGATTAGTGGGAAGATTTAAAAATACCACCACAGATGAAGCAATATCATTGCACACATCATAAATCAATATTCCTTCCTTCCTCAATGGCACGACAGCCCTGGGTGGGCCCTGGCCTTCTAAATCAACTTCCTCCATTCCTGCCTCCGCTTGGCAGTTGTCTTCCAATTTGAGACTTTTAAGACTGAAAAGTCTCTTTCCACGCAGTCGGCCCATCTCAGCTTTGGTCGACCTCTGCGCCTTGATCCGATGGGCTGAGCCAAAAAGATTATGTTTGTGGAACGCTCTCTGTTCATTCGAATGATGCGATCAGCCCATTTAATTCTTTGGATTTTTACATACTTGACAACATCAGGCTCTCTAAAAGCCCGATAGAGTTCTGAGTTTGAACGCCTGTACCAAGTACCATCAACTTGTTTGCCCCCAAAAATCGATCTTAGGATCCGACATTCGAAGATTCCCAAGGAATTATCATCTTTCTGTGTTGCTGTCCAAGTTTCTGAGGCATATGTTAGGATAGGTCTGATTAAGCATTTATAAATTAACAGTTTAGTATCTCTTTTTAGTAGGTTTGATTTTAAGTATTTTTTTAATCCATAAAAACATTTACTTGCACTATTGATTCTTCTTTGTATTTCGCCATTAACGTTGACTTCAGAACCAAGATAAAAAAAACTGTTTACTTTTTCAAACTTGTATTCACCAATTTGCAAGTGAGTTGTAGAATCAGATATTTTGGTGCATTGCATATACTTGGTTTTCTTCTAGTTAATAGTGAGATGCATTTTTTCTGCCTCTTTTTCCATGGATAGAAAAGCTTGCTTTAAGTCAGATTGTGTTCGCGCTATGATGTCATCGGAAAATGCGAAAATTTGTACAGATTTATGAAAGATATGTCCTCTGGTATTGATTCCTGAATCTCTGATAATTTTTTCTAATGCCAAATTGAAGAGTAGGCATGCCAATGCATCGCCTTGCCTTACACCATTTTTTGCCTCCATTGGTATAAATCAATATTATCAATAGACAATATGAGGTGACATCTTTCTATCATTAGAAACATAAATCAAAACTTGTAGACGTGGAATAGGGTCGAAAAAATCTCGTACAACCGGATTGCATTTCCATTTAAATCAAACACTACGATTCATATTCACTCTAATTTAAAACTAAATATCAATATTTGTACTAACTTGATTTCAAAATCTAACATTGTGATTCTCCACGTGATTTTAAAGTCAAGCACGGCAATTTTAAAATCAAACATTGCGATTTGCAGTTATGCGATTACAAGCGCACTTTGGAAGTCTTTTACGATTTTGATTAGAAATGGTTGTAAATACTAAATGTTAAAATTAAATCGTTCGTTCCTTTGCTTAACCTTCAATCTTACCTTCCTTTCTAATTGCTTTTGATGATGCAATTGTAATAAATTGAAAAAGAGTAAAACTGAAAGATAAGTTATTTAAAATACAATTCATTAATTTTAATTATTTAATTTTACTTTAATTTGTTACATACATAAATCAAGTAACGTTTGAATTTTTAAAAATATGTACGATTTTCTTAAAAATTTGCACCCCTCCTCGCTACCGTTTATTTTCCCAGTTGGCAATTTTTGTCGAAATTTGTGAGAAGGCTTATTTGGTATTTTATATTAAGTGTTAACATTTCGAAAGAAACATCATGCAAATAAAAAGATTTGAGCAAGGGAATTTCCAAAAGAATAAGTAATTTTTAATCCAGATAATGTTTTTAATATTTAGCATTAGCTATATTTATGGAAAGTATTTAAATCAACTATAGCAAGATTTTTCATTCTTATACAAAAAAGTTTTTTTTTTCTTCCTACATATCATTTCTTAATGTAAAAATTTTTCAGGTAATTTTCAAACTTTCTTTGAGCTTACCCCTCAAAATATACTACGGATACTTATACATTTTTTAGAAATTCGGAAAACAGCAAAGTAAAGCTATCAATTATGCAAAAATTTTTTTTTTTGAAATTTACAATAACAAAAATGTGGGGGGGGGGNGGGGGGGGGGACAATTGCTTAAATAAAAAGACATCTGAATCTAGTAAAATGTTAAGATTATACACAATTGTGAAAATAATAAAAACTGCCATTAAATATACAATTAATACATACACCATATTTAATTATTTCCTTATATTATGCAATTTATATATATATATATACATAAAAGAGATATTTAAACTTTGTGAAGTGAAGATCGCAAAAAGTAAACCAAAAAAATATATAAATGAGCACCTTCATTGGAGGATATTTATGATATGGCGCAGTTCCAGTGACAAGTTCAATTGCAGTTATCCCAAAACTCCATATGTCTGCTTTGAAATCATAACCAGTGACTTGTTCCATTACTTCGGGTGCCATCCAGCAAGGGGTGCCAACAAAAGTATGCCTCGACTTTTGCCGGGACAAATCGCCTCCAGTTGCAAGCCATGAGCTCACACCAAAATCTATAAAAACAAAAAGTTAGAAACATAATAATAACCTCATTATTTTTACAGATATATAACCTAAGATTTATTGTAACACCTATCTATCTACTATACATATTTAATTTAAATAAATAATTATAATCAATGTGGACAAAGTTATAGTGCAATGTTTATAGAAATACTTTGGCATGGCTCATATAATGGAATAAGTTTTATAACTGCAGAATACTACAATATGCACTGTTTTAAAGAATACATAATGTATTTTACGTAAAAAGCTTGTAGAGGTAAATTTAATGAGAGTGAGTTCATAGAACCTAGACTTAAAGTACAGATTTGAGGTTGTGAAAATGTCACCTGCAATTTGAACAGTTCCATCATCGCCAAGCAAAATATTTCCAGCTTTTATATCCCTAAGGAAATAAAAACTTATTTTAATTTTAAAAAATAAGCAAATGTACATATATAAATCATAAATGACTCACAATTAATTCATAAAAAAAATGAGAAATTTTATACAAGCTTTGTTTTTATAATATTTTATGAGAGTCTGAATTTACCTATGAATTTGGCCATTATTGTGAAAATATTCTAAACCTTTTAAAACCTCTCTCAAGACTGTGGCTACAGTTGCTTCATCAAATACTCCATGTTTACAGTCTTCCATTTTCATTTTATGTTTAATTATATCTAACAGAGACCCTATTAAAAAGCAGTTAAGCCATATCAGATAACTAAAATAACAGATGCAAAACAGTAATAACATAATAAAACACAAATAATACATATTTTTCAGTGATTCCATCATACTTTGGAAACTATGGGTTCTCTGGGTACTTTTGTTTATTAAAAGGAGGTCCCTATTTAAAATATAATTCTCTAATTTTAAGAAATACATAAAAAATTAAATATTTTCTGATTATAAGAAAAATGTGAATAGTAATTGATTCAATAATAATGCAACAATATATTATATGTCAATTAAACTCAAAACTATTTTCATTTTCTGCAATTAATTGTGATTTTGCCTATATTTTTTAATCTAATTTTCCTGTTGAAGAATTACAGACCCCTTAAGAATTTCCCCCTGTATTTGATGTGTCATAACGTATAAGCAGAATCATTTGTATACAGAGGCTTGGCTAGGATTCACAGAGCCAGGGACAAACTCAGTTTTTGTGCTCCTTACAATATGGTGCAGAACTTAAAAGAGGGCTTTTTAAAATCGTAATAATGTAAAATCAGAAATAATTAAATGCATTTGTCATTTTTTAAAATTAATTTCATATAAATTTTAATTTAATTTAGTTTAAATTTTATCAGTTTATGGTACTAATATAGTTTCTATATTAGTTGATGTTTTTGATTGTTTAAATAATAGGCTAAAATAGCTCTAGGAGTCCATAAATATTCAGAAAAATCCAAGACAGGGAAAGGTTTCGCATCTTTTCTCTCAAATCCCAGACAGGAGAGAAGATGATTGCTCAGTACCGGATTACCCATTAGGCCTGGGGCTCCCTTAAAAGGAATTTTTTGAAAATAAATTTTAAAAATTAAGAAAAACAATGATTTTAAAAAAAATCAATTTCAAATATAATAAAATATGATAATTTTTAATACCAATTTTATAGTAGCGTTGATTTCGTAAAGTGTTAATAAATTTCAAATTTTTAAAAATATTATGATTATTTCTTAATTCTAATTTAACAAAATAAAGTAAAATTTAATTTATTATTATTTATTTTAATTTTAAATATACTTTCTTAAATGAAAAGATATATAATACTTTTATATTTGAATAAATAAAAAATATACAAGAAAAAAATGTAATCTAAGGGCCTCAAGTAAGCTTAATCCGGCACTGAAGTTGCTTGCAGTTGTGTGCAGGTACAGCCGCAAATAACCTGGAGGATATCTTGTTCAAATTACAGGCAAAACAAATAAAAATTTGAAGTAATGGGGAACACAATGAGTAGGTTGATTAATTTTACACCCCTCTCAGACTGCCAACTGAGAACAGATGTCTCCATTAGCCACGTCATTGTTTGTATATAGGATACATATTTATATATATACTGCCATTCAAATATTACATAAGCATATTTTTTTTAAACTGTGAAACCTTTTTCTCTCATTTACTGGCAAAAATAGCCGAATTGAAAATCTCCCTTTCTTTAATTGTCCATAATCAAATATTACATGAGCATATTTTAAGTGATCAGCAAAAATATCCAAATTGTAAACCCCTTGCTTGTTTATTCTTCATGTAATATTTGAATGACTTCAAATATGAATTTCAAAATAATTTATTGACATTCAGATGTAAAAGAAAAATAAACAAACTGGACAGTTTCAATATCTAACAGGTTATAAAAATATTATTTTCAATGTATATATAAATTATTTATATCTGTAGCCCTTATGTGAATAATTGAAACACTCTTTTACAACAGATAATGAGAAGTAATTAATGTGATCATGTTTACAACTGATTGCTTGGATTTCTTTCTAATTTAACAAGATATTATTTACACTATAAATAGAAACTACTTATATCTATAGTTTTTTAAGTAACTCATTGAAAAATATTTGCTGAAGCATTTTTCACAATTTGTTAATATATATGGATACATAAAATTTATGTTGAATCAAATTGGTTTTTTTGGCTAAAGAGTAAAGAAGCTACAACTTAGATTTGATATAACTCTTAATAAGCAAGAAAAAGATACATATAATTTTTATCATTACCTCCCGATAAAAGTTTTATCACAAGCCATAACTCTTCTTTCACTACAAATGATGTGAAGTAACTAACAACATTTTCATGGTTACAGGCACTCATGGCTTGAATTTCTTTCTAATTAAATGAAAAATAAAAAAAAGTGAATAAAAAAATAAGAAAAATTTAACTTTTCTTACTAAATTTTTTTTTTTTAAATGAATAATTGAGACTAAAAATGGAAACCTTTTTTCTTTTTAAATACACACTTAATGATTTAATAACTTGGCAGAAAATCTTTTTTTTTGTAAAATATTTGATCAATATTCCATATCATTTGCATTCTTGCAACTTAAAAGGTATTTTTTTTTCAATCAGAAAATCAATTATGGAAATTTCTCTATCAATCCAAATCCTGTTTTCAGTTGATAGCAAAATTGTACTTCAAGTTTAAAAACATAATCATTAATAAAAATTTCATTTGCTTCAAAATTAAAGTGTGAAAAATTTACATATTTTGAGCACATTAAATCATGCAGACTTTCCTCTACTATAATTATGAAGCAAACAAGTTTCAGACCCGCCAAACTAATAAAAAAAAAAAAAAAAAAAAAAAAAAAAAAAAANAAAAAAAAAAAAAAAAAAAAAAAAAAAAAAAAAAAAAAAAAAAAAAAAAAAAAAACAGACTTTTTGCGACTACTGCACAGTGTTATAAACAAAACACTAAAGATTAAAACGAAATAATTGTAATACTAAATTCAATATCAAATACTATCATAAAACAAATTTGTTGTAGTAGTTATTTATTTAAAATAAGTTGTTAAACTAACACATAAATAAAAAAATATAAAAGTTTACAGTATATTGGTCATTATTTTGTCAAGAAGAGACTAATAGCTGCATCTAAATTTTTTCCAATTAAAACAGGATCGAACAAAAGTAAATTATTAATATCTTTCTAACAAACTCTGTCGTCAGCTTGCAACAGAAGTTATTTTCACTTAAAAAAAAAAAAAAAGCCTAGATGGCACAAATTATAGTGCCATCTAAACTTTTAAGTTAAAGTCAAACAATTTTTTCACATGCATTTGTACTATTATGATTTTTTTCCGCCCAAATCTAATACTCTATCATCGATCACTTTACTTTTGAAGATTCCAAGTATTATTTGAATATATAAATTAACACTCTTTTTCACACTTAATTTTCTTTTTTTTTTTAATAATGTGACAAAAAATAAAGAGCAAGAATAGCATACCAAAAGTTCATCCATATTTGTGTTCCATTTTTCTAAATTTATTCGCTTTATTGCACATTTCTCCTTACGTGGCTTACAAAAAGCACTATGAACAATAGCAGTAGCACCAACGCCTATATCAAAAGAAAGAGATTTGAACTAAATTTACATTAATTCAATTTTATTAAAAACAGGAATATAAGATAAAGTGCCCTATTTCATATTATTTAAGCTATAATTTTGGAAACTTAGTCACCTAGTTCAAGAATAAAAAAAGTAACCATAGAAGAATAAACCAATCTTTATAATATAATATATTTTCAAACCTTATAGCTAAACTTAATATTTATTAACAAATGGGATAATTTTAATAAAATAATCAGTTTATTAATTATATTTGCCCAAAAAAATTTAATAAAAAGAAGATAAACAATGTATTATGATGTAATAGTATAATACTTTTTATCTATTTATCACTACATACACAATAAGTTAACATAGGTACAATAAGTTAACTTATGAAACAGCCAATAACATTATAATATTGCCACTATACGCTAAATTTTAACATTGATTCATAAAATGCAAATGTTTTAACATTAGATACATTTTTAGTCATTAGATACATAAACCATCAAGTGACACTGTCATATTTTCAATGCTGTATAAATGTCTTCTTAATAAATTGAACAAAATTTAAATACATATACACAGATATTTAATTATTTGTTTATGTTTTCACCAGGGTTGGCAAGTTTTTGACACATGACGGTTTTTACCGGTTTATACCATGGTTTTTACCGTCATGTCAAAAACCCCTCTGTCAAAAACTGTCAAAAACCCATAGTTTTGGTAAAACTGTATTAATTCATTACTAATTCAACTAAATTAATTCATTTTAGGCAATAAAATTACCCAGCATGATTATATCAAAACATACTATTTGAAGTAAAATATTAGGATACTAAACAAAATTTTCAACATTTCCAGGCATTTTGTTTGGCATATTACATTACTGAAGAATATCAAGTCATTCTTGACTTAGAGTTTGTTAGTAGCTGGGCAATTCCATATGTGACGGAATGACATTTTGACTTGCATGACGACAATTAATTGAAGTTTCTATGCATCTAATTTCAAATAAACATGATTTTTTCTCATGCATATCATTATTATTGGTATAATGTGATTCATAAACTAAAAAAAAAGAATTTTGTATTTTTTTTATTTTTTATTTTCTGAACTTTTTACTTGTGTGACGGAATGACATTTAGGCAACCAAGCTTTCGGCATGCCGCTTAGAACTGGTTGTTTCTGTGAATTTTGCAACTATTATTTTCCTGAACTATTTTTTACTTTTAGTATAATGTGTAAGCAATGTAAATTGTGAATTTGGAAAATTAACCTCAGGTTNTTATAAGTATTTTTCAAGAAAACAATTTGAGCACAAATGTGAAGAATTCACTTGTCAGCCATGTGATTACTTTAGAATGCTGCCAGATTCAAAAAACTTAAAATTATCAAAAATTAAACAGTAATATGTAGACTTTGGCTATTTTTGAACATATTTTTAAAATTAAAATATGCAATTCATAAAAAAAAAATTTCACTTAAAATAGGGGTACACAACCTTTTTGAGTGAAGGGCCACTTGCACAGCAGGTTGGCTAACGAAGGGCCGCAGATGTATTTAGACATGTTTATGACAAATGTAGTAATGTTTATTTAAACATTAGCGTTCCATTTTTTTTATCAATAAACTTAGTAATATCAATAACTTAGTAGTGTTCCATTATTAGAATTCATTCAAAAATAAAAAAACTTATACTTTTAAAAAAAAAACAAAAAAAAACTTGCTATTTTTATCATATGAACAATAGATTTATCAAAATAAATAAACATTGAAGAAAAGAATTTTTTTTTTTTATCATATCATGCAATTCGAAAATTCATTTTAGAATTTAATTCTAATAAATAAAAAAAACTGCAGTGCCCACAGAATGAAAGTAGGAAAAAGTTTAATCATAGTTAAGTAATATAAATTCAAATTAAATATTTTAATTGGCAAAACTGTGATAGTTCAAAATAAAATTCAATGCTTATTTTGTAATGTACTTTATTGTTTTATTTTAATAATTATTAGATTTTTTTATATCGTAAACAGTTTCCCTTTTTTTTTTTATCGAAAAAGATCACTTAAGCAACAAAAAATTTAAATCTAAACTACAAACAGTGAGCAGTTTAAAAATTCACGTTTTCCATCATTTTATGAATTTCTTAAGTTGCAGTAACATTGCATTTAAATTAGGGAGGGATATAACGAGTACATGGCCCTTCTGTGAAAAATTCAGTTGGTTGAATGATCAGTCAAATATTCGGCAGAATGTTTTTTAGAAATGTATTTTTCCAAGTTTTTTTTATTTTTGAATTTTAATAGATATTACATTTTTTTTTAAAATTATAATCAGACCAGTCAATTTTGTCATTTTTTCGATACTTTGAGAATTGAGTTTATTATCACTCTTTCCCTGTATTGTAATATAAATAACCAGTAACATAGAAATTTATTTTTTCAGTATTAAAGTCTTGCTTCAGGAACTAAGGAAAATTTGTTTTTTCTGTATTTCTTTTTTTAGGCATTTTTATTATGACTCAGCATTTTTTTTAAAAATAAAGTTACTAATAAAATTTATTTTATAGCAATTTTTTTTCTTCTAAAATTATGGCAATGAGAAAAATTTAAATTGAGATTCTCGGCATAAAATTTTCATTTAAAAAATGAAGAACGCCTTTTTCTATCTTTTTATTTTCTTTAAATAAAAAAAAACAACATGTTTTTAGACGTTTTCATTATAACGTAGTAATTTTTAATAGCATTTCTGTTGACTTAATTCTTTTTTCTTGGCTTTTTCTGGTAGATGAAAAACTGAGATGCTCAGCTTTAAAAATAATTTTCAAAAATTAAGATCGATTTTTATGTTTTCTGTTTCGCTTTTCGACATTTTGAACGTTCTTGATTGGCCTTATTTTTTAGAGTTAATTTATGAAAACGTTTTTCCAGGAAATATTATTCTTAGCATTGAAATTTTAGTTTCAGTGTTGCTATGCTGCTAAAAGATTTTGCCATTTGGCCCCAAGTGTACGGCGTTCAGTCGATTTTTTCTTCTTCTTTTTTTGTTGCCGAATATTTGATTTTTGATCAAATCACAATTCGTTACCACATTCGACCAAATCATATTCGTTGCGGAAATAAAAATGAAGGAAAAATAACTAGGATTTAAGATAAAACTATGCTGAAATACCGTATCAAAGAGGGATTATTTAATTTCGCGATTAACAATCACGTGTCGTAATAACATCATAGTTTAATAACAGGATCGTCAAAATCATGTGGAAAAGTATAGAAATAATTGGGAAAAAATATATTTATGCTGATCTCAGCACGAATAAAGTGTGTCAAATGCATGATTTAAAATTTGTATGTCGTAATTGAACAATTGGAATTTTTTATAATACGTGGGAACGCATAGCAATAACTGCCGAAAAAAATTTTTGAAACAAAAAGAAAAAATTGCAAAAGGATAAAAAATCACTTAGATTTAAGAAGAAATCGTCACAAATAAAGTGCACAAAAAGTGATTATTTAAATTTGCGATCTGAAACTCGCGTCGTAATAAAAATTCGGGTTTTTTGAAATTACGTAGAAAAGCGGAAATGACTGTTTAAAAAAAATCATTTATATTTACGATAAAATCGGCTTAAAGAAAGCGCGTTAAACGTACATTTACTAAAGAATATGTTAAAATTGATTGTGCCAAAACGTGATGACTTAAAAGTGCGATTAAAAATTGCCATTTTTTAAATTTTTTTTATTGTGTTTAGAAGCTCTCGCGGGCCGCACTTCAGTGGTCGAAGGGCCGCAGGTTGTGCATCCCTAACTTAAAAGTTGACGCTTTCGTGGAGTTGCCCAGCTACAAGTTTTAATAATTTTGTTTAGCTTATTTCTAATATTTAAGAAATGCCAAATTTTAAATTCTTCTTTTTAGTTCTTGAATTTATTAATAGTTCCAAGCTTTTTTGTTTGTTTGTTTATTTCTAACAATTAAGAAGAGCAAAATTTTGAATCCTTTGCAAATCAAGCTATAATGATAAAAATAAGTATCACTATTTTCAATTAGTATATTTCTATATGAATGTATATCCTTCTATAAGAATACATGTATATAGTTGCAAAATCAATAGAAATCATTTACAACATTCATTTATTCAATCATTTACAAAGGCAATTATGTGAAAATAATATATTGTCGGCTATATGCCATAAATTAAAGAAATCAGTAGGTTTTTGACAGTTTTTACCGGTAAAAACACGGTTTTTACCACTGTCATGTCAAAAACCAGTTTTTGACGGCAAAAACCCAACTCTGGTTTTCACACACTTTTAAATCTTTTAATTATAAATTATTAATAAGAAAATTCATATCATTAGATAAAAATAATTTCTGATACTTTTTGGTTCACCAGGTGCATGCCAAAGTCGCCAAAAAATATAGCCGCCAATTTTTTTTAAATACAAAAAAAATCCTATTTCTTTTCATAGAAATTTGGTAATTATATAGGTACATATATGATAGATTACGCAACATTTTTTCATTTCTTACATGCTTTAATAAAGGATACCATTTCTTGCCAACTATCATTACCAAGATGTTACAGTTGCGTACTTACAAATAAAAAAAATAATAATAGAGTACTAGTTTTCCCAGGGATGGCTACTAGTTATAGTCTGAGATGGTCTCTTTATGTGATTTTTTTTTGTTTAAGTTTCTCACATGCCATTACTCAGTTGTCAAATTTTAACAAACTTTTTATGGAACGGGTACCAATAAAGAAATCTTCAATTTTATTAACAATCTTTACTGCTAAATCTAAAAATAAATATGCTGTCAGAAAAAGACTAATCATTTGTTTACATTATGATAGACTCTAGAACTTTTATAATAAAAATAAAAGGTTAATTAAAAAAATATTATTAAATGAAAATAAATATTTCAGTACTAGATTTTGGTAACTAAATATAAACCCTCAATTGATTCAATATATAATTTCATTCAATATTTCTTAATCATGTTTCATTAACACATGAAACAAAAATTGTGTTTCTAAGTTAAATAAAATTAAAGCATAAATATGCACAATACAGTCAATGACAGATTTATCAATTGTTTACATTTTGATGCACTCTAGAAACTTAAGCAAATAGATATTTTTTTGGGGGTATTATGTGCATAAATTATTTGTCACATAACATTTCATGCATGTTTAATTACTACCTATAAAAAAAGTTTGTAAGCTAAATACAATGGAAATGTAAAAAATGCAGCAATAAACACATTATATATGATTTATTTACATTTTGAATCTATTCAATAAAAAAAGATTGTTGTTTAGTAAAAAAAATCATGAAAAGAAAATTTGTTTTTCACCAGTTAATTGTTTTGGCTATTCGATGCATAAGCCATCTATTTATAAAACATTCTAATGTAGTTTCATTATTGCATCAAATGCCATATTTGTAAGAGAAAGAAAATTGAGGAGCCTTTTGTTATGTATGGCTGTCAAAAATATCAATCCATATAGATTAGTACAATATAATTTAAATGTTCATTTATAGACAAATTTATCACTTGTTTATATTTTAATCAGCAGTATTATTGAATAATCTTTACCAGAGTAAATTTTTTTAGGTTATTAGATACTTAAATCATCAACTCATTATGCAATATTTATAGTAGGTAAGTTTAAATAGCACTTATAATAAATTTAAATGCAGATTTGTATACTTAAGGATATTTATCATAGATTTACATTTCAAAGCATTTTTGAACCTCTGTGATTAAAAAAAAAAAAATATCAGCAACTAAAAATAGACAGACCATTAAATAATATTCTCCCTTGTTTTCATATTGTATTGTGTACAAATTGCTGAAGTAATATTTCTTGCATGTTTCAGTATCAAGCTGAACTTTATTATTATTTTCAAATCTATAAATAAATTATTATTATGCTTCGTATAATAACGATAATTAGCAAAGCCATCACAATAAAGACAGCGATTTTTATATCTCAACTTTTCGAAGGATATAATTTTCAGCATGCAAGTTTGGGATGAAATTTCTTTTTTTCAGAGCAATAAACACTTAACAATTGTGATCGGCACTGATGATAACACTAGGATCAATAATTGATATATCTCCTGTCAAAATTCATACTGTTTAAGCAAGACATTCACTAGAAGAGCGATACACCGGTAAACTCGATGTTGATAAAGAAAAGTAGATTTGCATTGAAAAATGATTTGGAATAAAAATGATAGTTTCATATGACGAAATTAACTGTAAAACTTACCGATAACTTCTCCCAATTCGTAGGAATCTTTATCGTTTGGCCAGGTTGAAACAGCTACTTCTGTAACGTCTGCCATTTTGTTTGCTAGAGCGTTGCCAGCCGTAACTTTCTTAGGTTTTGCATTAGTCAGCTGTGCGGTGGCGCTGATCTTGCGATACGTTCCTGGAGAACCAGGTAAAAAAATTCCGGCTTTTTCTGCGGCTCGGACAGAATTTTCACTAAAAGAAAAAAAGAAAGAAACAGAAATTAAGTTTTGTTTAATAGTTGAACTCAAGAAGAACATCAAGGTCATGTAAAAACTTGATTACTCAAAACGCTTTCCTACAATTTGGTTAGTTTGAGTTTCTTCAGGATTATTTGTCCAGAACTAATTGACTTTCAGCAAATAAAAATTAAGGGATCTATACTTCCGTGCAATTTTATTTTATTTTATGACCGCCGTTGAACAGTCGACCCAATTTTTGGGTTTACGACTACATTCCGTGCAATNAAAAAAAAAAAAAAAAAAAAAAAAAAAAAAAAAAAAAAAAAAAAAAAAAAAAAAAAAAAAAACGTAAGTGCCTCACGGTAAATTTCGAGAAAAATAGATGGACTACTATTTGCTTTCTACAGCTAATGCAATGAACGCTAAAACAGAATTTCAAAAAACTAATAAAAATAAAATTTAATTCTGAAAAAAAAAAAAAATCTTTTGCCATGAGCAGCTTATAATACAAAAAAGACAAACATATAAAAATCTCAAATTTTGAATTTTTTGTCGCTTGCGTTGATTTTTCTATGGCACGGCTGTATATGCATCCTTTAACAAGCATTGAATCAACGATTGAACTACGAAAAGCTAGACAAAAGGCTCACAATTCTCAATATCGATCGTGGTGGTCATGACCAATCCTCAATGAAGTTATTCAGAAGTCGACTTTGTCTCTTGAAAATAAAATTGTGTGGTAAAGGTTGAGGGGAGTGTGGAAGCATGTTATTAGATATTATCAGTGCTTGTAATTAAAATAGTCATCAATCCAATATTTTATACCAAATTTGGGGAGCAACCACCTAATGTGATTAAGTTCAATTACTTTTAAATGTCTTAGCAGCAGTTTTAATTAGGATGGTTGCGCGTTAAATATGTAGAAATACTGTCACTTTTATACAGTAATGTTTCACATGTCTGAAATATTTCTATATTCAACTAGGATTTTAATCGAATTGCGATGAAAAAGCTGTGAAAAATACTGTTAAATTTTGTGCTTTGATATCAACGAGTAGTGTAACAAGCAAAATACCACGAAAAAATTTTTTTGTTAAAGATTTTTTATTTACTTTTTACTCCACATGAAGGAAAATTTTATTTAATGCTAAGAATTTTTTTAGATCAGAAACATAGCTTCTCATTTACAATGAAATAGAATCTTGATTAAACGTACTCAATCTTTAAGCACAATATACTTCTTGACAAATTTATTTAGCTCCTAAAATAATTATTAATTTTTTGAAATTTTAATAAAATTAGTATTATTGTATTATAACTTTATAATCAAAGATTATTATCATTATTTTTCTTTTTAATTAGGTGAGAAAATTCAGAAAATATAGCGTGATTTAAAATTTTAAAGTTTCAAAATATCACAAAAATTGAAATCCTGCGTTTTAAATTTTATAATGCTTGATTTTTTTAAAAGAGAATTTTTGGTGTTCAAATTTGATTAGTTTAAAAAACACAAGGTCCCAAAATTATTATATTCTTTCATATGGTCCCCCGAAAGTAAAAGGTAAACAGGGTGGATTAGCCCGATGACCACACCAATTCCCAGATTTATCTAAAACCTTTCTAATATAAGAGTTTTTGTAGATGAATTTGAATTCTATTCATAAAAAAAACAAATTTGTTTTGAAAAATCTATTTCAGAAAATAATTTTTTTGATAAATTTAATTGTAATAAAGAGAACTGTTTGAGTCATCTAAAATTAAAATATATGGTGTTGGATGTTTTAATATAAAATCTGAAGGGACCATTAAACATCGATTATTGAAAATAACTAAAAACAAAAACACTCTTAGTTCTTAACTCTCAGTCATTGTAGCGACGTTAAATTAGTTTCTCTTTCCCAAGAAGTCGGTCAATTGTTTATATAATTCAAGATTAAGTTATGCTAACGTGTTTAGTAACAGATATAATTTTTATAGAGCAAAATAACTTCTACATCTTTTCTCAAAATCAGTGTCAACACTCAAACATGATAAGAATTTGTCAGTTAATCAATCAATCGTTAGCACTTTAGTATGACTTACATTATCACATCGTTATTTTCAAAGTGCATTAAATTTAATTATTTGATTCAAACATGCTGTATGCTGTTAGTAAAATTTTTATAGTTTATATTAAACTTATTCAAAATGTTTAAAACGAAAATTTTTGCTTATAAGTTGCTTAAGGAATGAAGCTACTTTAGTCAATTCAAATATCCAAAAATTTTATGAACTGAAAAAATATCTAGGGACCCTCGACTACTGAATTTTTGCGCAGTTCCACAAATCCACTGCGTGCCTCTTGAAAAGTTCATAAACGTGTTTATTCCGTTCTTGTAACTTTTATTCTGTGAGCAAAAAACACGAATTACCATAAATTATTGCAAAAGTTTTCGATATAATTTAATAAGCTTTTTCAACCAAAGAGGCCAATTTTAAGCATCTATGGTGTTTTAACCAAGCTAAAGTAACAAAAGAAAATGTCTTTGATGTTTACAAATAACGATAAAGAATAGAACGTTTAAATAGGACAGTTTTTTGATAATGTTCTTAACAAATAGCAGCAATAAATGAATTATATGTATTAGTGTGTGAAAGAATTTAGAAAAAAGCAGTTTAGTGTATTAAAGCACGCGCACGAAATAGCACGATTATTTTCACAATAAATAATAAATAAAAGTACTTAATCTAAACGTACTTATTTATTCTTAAAATAATTTAAGTAATCAAGTATTTTATCACGTTTTTATGAAATATTTCCATTTACTCATACGTGACATACAGGATTGTTTAAAAAATGTAAAGTGCGCAACACCGACTGTTTTTTTTTTCTCTTCATAAATAAATAGTTAAAAACATGCTAATGTCATAAAATTCTCTTAAAAAATTTATCATGGGTTAAATTTTATTTAAATAGAAAAGTGTATTGCATATAAATAAATTTTTTATTAATAAAATCCAGAATTTACTGCTGTTGACGTTACAAATCACAAAAGCAGGACCTTATTTCTACCTATTCGAAAAAGCAGGACCCTGTTTGAAAGAACTTTACTTACAGCTAATTTTAGACTCACAAAGAGCAGATTATTTCAAAATTCTCAAAAACAGGAAATTTCTCTAAAAGTGTAGACCGACCACTGTTAATTATCATATTTGTATACTACGCAATTGATACAATCTAACTTATAAACTGTAACGAAGAAATTTTTAAAGTAAAAACATCTTTTCTTTACTTAGATTTTTGAAACATTTTCTCCCATAAATAGGAAAAAGAAAATCCCAAAGCATATATATATATATATATATATATATATTAAAAAGCTATTATTCTTGTCATGCCATGAGAGCGAAATTTACATGTTTGGCGAGCGACAGCTATTAGGCAGTGAAGTTAGCTCAGTTGACAAATCGTTTTCGCCATTTTGACAAGACAATTACTTTCCCATTAAAAGGAGATTTCGTATACTCACAGAGCTTCACAACATTGATTTTACATTTCTTACATCTTTAGTCTTACTTTAACTATTCTTTGAATATTTAAAAAAAATAATGTAGAATCAAGACCCCAGCAGGGTAAAAATCATGGTGGGTTTGGGAAAGGAAGGATTCTTAACAATTCGTGATTTTTGATTTATTATTAAAAATTATTGATCCTTACTTTGCAGTTTATTTTTTGGACTTCATGAAATATAGTTAAATATAATGTATGGTTAATAAAATGTTTTCATCCTTAATTACCATTTAATAGATAAGGGATCGTCCTCAAATGATGGAGAAGTTTGCGCCGAGAGTAAAGGAGAGGATAAGAAGTCACATATTTCGGTTAAAATGAAAACAAATAAAAATATTTTTATGTTATTAGTTTTTTTAAATATATTTTCCTATTTTTCTCCAAAATAATAGATAAGGGGCCACCAAAATAATAATAAATAAATACACATTTATTCATCAATGGTGTTAAGCTTACTGTCATAAAAACATAGTCAACATATGCATTTGAGTCAACTTATTTATTAAATATTAGAAACAAATTTTGAAGGATGATTTACAATTAGTATTTATATCTGATTTTTTAATGTATTTTTATATAATACAGCGAGACATGTGAATAGAGTGTAGGGGTCATAATGAAGTGGGACAATTTGTGACAAAAGGGTGGAGGGAGTCAAAAATATTGAAAAAAAGTGTGCTCTCAATTTCTGAAAGGCTCCCAAGAAAATACGGGATTTAAGATTTCTGTAGGGCTAATATTAAAATAAAGATTTTTAAAAAAATGTAGCTAAAACAATAAATATGCTTCCCATTTTTAGTGCTTAAATCGTTTAAAAGTAAACGTTTACACTAAACCCGTATGCGTTTCTTTTGTTCATAGTGTTTTGACCCTCGCTAGCTCTATATTTTAAATACTTCACAAATTATATTACCACAAACGGACTGTATTTTTTCTCACATTTTTATTGTACTCTCTGCTTCACAATTAACACACTCGTTCTCTCGTTACATGTTTTTCTAGATGGCGCTACAACCGTGCGGATACACATAGGTTGAACTTATTATATTTAACGATAAAAAATTATCCAGGATTTGTCTTTTAATTAGTATATAGTTGACTATGAAAAGATATGAATGTGAATTAATGCAAAGTGAACGAAAAATGCTTTAAGATTGCAAGGCAAGATTGATTAAACTATAAAAATGATATTAAAAACCTGTGAGTGACTGATTAATAAAAATAATGCAGGCAGTACTCGTTCGTATATTTTTTTTATTCGAAATTTGATTCACATAATTTGATTATTTTATAAAGTGTTAAGCATTTTATCCAAAATGTCAATTTTGAGTACATTTTCTTCAAAGTATATTACAGCATTTATAACAACACAACAACAATGTAAGCATTTATCCAAAATGGATGAAAATTGATTTAAAGAAGAAAATTGATTAGAAGACGTTTTTATCGATTAATGAATAAAA